CGCCTTGGCTTTCCCAATGCAGGGATTATAGTATGAGCCATCATACAACGTATAAAGCCACATTTGCCCCTCATTTTAAAGTAGGTTTTTCTTGAACTATTCTTTAAATAGAGGGTGTTTCATGAAAGTTTATCAAAATACTTTCTGATCTTATTTGGGATCTTGTTAACATAAAAGCACTCAAAACCTGGCTAAGGGCTGAAAGCTAATTTGCAGTTATAGCACTTAAGATTTTCTAAACCAGCTATAAATAGCCATTTAGCTAAGGTTTACAAAAGTGTCTGTCATATAATCAACTTAAGATGATGATTTGGTGTGGGAGAATAGAAATAATCCTTATTTGTATTTCATTCAAGCTTAACCAGATCCTTTATGCAGTTCTGGGAAAAGTCAGGTGAAAAGATAACTTTCAGTGGATTTCAAGAGTTAGTGAACCTTGTCTGGCCTGGCAGAGTGGCTCAAGTGGTAGAGTGACTTCCTAGCAAGATGAGTTCAAACTCCAGTACGTTCAAAAAAAAAAAAAAAGTGTTAGTGAACCTACCTAAACCTTATTATAGTAGGAAGGAATGAGAATTTCAAGGATCAAGGGCTCTTTTCCAGAGACTGTGTAGTTCCCTTACATTAGACATTTCTCATAGCAAGACTTCTTTAGCTGATGTTTTTGAGTGGTAATGTAAATCAATTCAATATATACACATAGTGGGTTCACTTAAAGTCTTTACTAGATTACTTGTGTTTGGTACAAATATAAGCAACAGTCATGCCCTCTTCCATCAGAAACAAGTAGTCCCATACTAAAGTGCATCTAACCTGAAATTACCTACTGTACTTTCCACAGAATTAAGCAAAAAAGGCAGGAAGTGGGACTTGTGATACAAGACTCAGCACTACAGGACTACTTAAATTTTCTTTGCTTTAAAAACCTTTAATAGGTTTGAGCTATTGCAACCATGTTATTTAACCATGTATTTAACATGGCTAATGGGCCAATTAAGAAATAATCCCAAAATGTTCATTTTTGCTTTCTGTACTGAGGCTCAAAGATAAATAAGTAAATTCCAGCTCCCCCCCCCCCAACCCCAGCCTCCCAGCTCTTTAACAGTATTTTCTTTTACTCCTGAATTAGGTGAATATTACTTTCCTGAATTGACTTCATATTTCCTTAGCAGGGGTGTGTATGTATATATTTATATATATTTGTTTGCAGTACTAGGGTTTGAACTCAGGTCCTACATCTTTCTTGAATTACTCTACCAGCCCTTTTTTTGTGATGGAATTTTTTTGAGATAGGGTCTCCCGAAATATTTGCCTGGGCTGGCTTTGAACTGCAATCCTACTGATTGCTGCCTCCTGAATAGCTAGGATTACAGGTGTGAGCCACCAGTACCCAGATCTGTAACTTAGTTTTGACGCAGTCCTTTCTAAGCTCTAACATTTGTGTGACCTTGAATAGGACATTCTCCGAACTGAGTCTTTTGTCTACTCCTGTCTAAATTGGAAATAATAAAAATACTTACCTTAAGGATTATTTGAAGGTTTATGGGTTAATAAATGTAGACTGCTTTGCAAACAACTTTCAGTAAATGTAATCTATTATAACTCAAAGTTTAATAAATTATTTTATAGAACCAATCAGTTTTATCTTTCAAATCTGATTGTTTTTTAACTATACAGGTAACATAGATATATTATTATTTTTTTAAGTCTATTTTTTTTAAGTCTAGATTTTCTTTTTTTTTTTTTTTTTTTTTTGTGGTACTGGGGTTAAACTTAGGGCCTACACCTTGAGCCACTCCACCAGCCCTGTTTTTTTGATGGGTTTTTTTTTTTTTTTTTTTTTTTTTTTTGAGATAGGGCCTCATGAACTATTTGCTTGGGCTGACCTCATACTGTGATCCTCCCAATCTCATAGGTATGAGCAGTGTGGTACATTTGTTATAATTGATATGTCAATAATAATACCTTATTATTAACTAAAGTTCACGGTTACCTTAGTATTCACTGTATTGTATGCTTCTGTGGATTTTAACAAATGTATCCATCACTATAGTATCATACAAAATAATTTTACTACCCAAAAAAAATCTGTGCTCTACTTAACTCATTCCCTTGGCCCTCTCCACTAGGAGAGGAATTATTCTCTGTAATTTTGCCCTTTCTAAAATGTCATTTGGTTGGACTCATGTAGTAGGCAACCTTTTTCACATTGGCATTTTTCACTTACCAATGTACATTTAAGGTTCCTCAACATCTCGTTATGGCTTGATGGAACTTTTTCTTTCCTTCTCCCCACCCTTCCGTTTTTTTCCCCCACTTTTTGCAGTACTGGGAATAGAACCAGAGCCTGGTGCTAGACAAGCATACTACAAGTGAGCTGCATCTCCGGTTCAGCTCATTGCTTTTTATTGCTGAATATTCATTCTACGTACATACTGGAGGGCATATTGGTTGCTTTGAAGTTTTAGAAATTATGACTAAAGTTGTTACAAAGTTTTGTGTGGGGCTGGCAGAGTGCCTCAACTGGTTAAGAGCGCCTGTCTAGCAACCATGAGGCCCTGAGTTCAAGCCCCAGCACTGAAAAAAAAAAAAAAAAAAAAGATTTGTGTGCAGGTTTTTGTATGAATAGAACGTAAGTTTTAAGTTCATTTGAGTAAATACTGAAGAGCACAGTTGCTTGTATGGGAAATTTGTTTAATTTTGTAATAAACAGCCAAATTGTCTTATAAAGTAGTTGTACCATTTTGTATTCTCATCAGCAGTAAATGAGAGTTTCTGTTGCTCTACATCCTCATCAGTTTTTGGTGTTGTCACTGTATAGGATTTTGGCTGTTCTAATAGGTATGTAGTAGGATCTCATTGTTTTAATGCAATTCTTTAGTGATACAAGTTGTTGAGAGTCTCTTCATCTGCTTATTTGTCATCTGTATATTTTCTTTAGTGAGCTGTCCATTCAGATCTTTGAAAAGTTTTTTAATTGGGTGGTCTTTTTTGAGGGGAGGGCTTGGGATGAGGTTTGCCATGTTGCCTAGGCTGACCTCTAACTTGTGATCCTCCTGCCTCAAGTGTCACTTGAGCCACTCTGCCAGCCCAAAATTGATGTTTTACTATTTTACTTATACAGTTATTGTGAGGGTTAAATAAGGTAGAAAAAAATGTGCTTGACACTGAGTATGTTGCTCATGTGTAATCCTATCTACTTGGGAGGTTGAAATCCAGAGGATAATAGTTTGAGGCCAGCCTGGGCATCAAGAGATCCCATCTCCAAATTAACCAGAACAAAATGGACTGGAAGTGTGGCTCAAGCAGTAGAGCACCTGCTTTGCAAACTCAAAGCCCTGAATTCAAATTCCAGTCCCACCCCAAATAAAATAAAATAAAAAGGACTGAACATGTCTAGTGGATAGGAAGCCTCCATGTTAGCTGTTGTGATAAAGAAGCAGTAGTTTGGCTGGTGGAGTGACTCAAGTGGTAGAATGTCTGCCTAACAAGTCTGAGACCGTGAGCTTAACCCCAGTACTGCCAAAAAATAAAGAGGTAGTTAACATCCAGCCACATTGATACCTCACCTATATGCAACTAGATTGTTGGAACCTTTTTTTGTTTTTTTTTTTTTTAAAGGCATAGTCTTGCTGTGTAGCCCAGGCTGGCCTCGAACTTAGATCCTCCTGCTTCAGCCTCCCCAGTGCTGGGATTACAAATGTATCACCATGCCTGGCATCTCTGAATCCTACTCTTTTTTAAAATCATATTGTACTGGGAGTACATTGTGACATTTACAAAAGTGCTTGCAATTTATCTTAGTTAAATTCACCCCCTCTGAGCCCTACTCTTAAATTCTTCTTCTCATTTTGCTCTTGCCTGTACCTCTAGAGTTTTCAT